ACTAATGATTTACTGGCTGCAATGCAAAAAAAATTAAATGCAGAATTGTTTCATTTATGAATATCTGGGTATCTGTTCCAGGACAGCGATGCAGAAAGTGTTGATACCGGTGAGCCGCATGACAGCCAGACAGATAGCATTATCAGAAGGTAGGTCAGGGTCAGTAATGGCAGCCCCAGTACCTATCTGATGATAGTTTACCTTTAAAACCTGGCCGGGCTACCCATCTGGTGACATTTACACTGCAATCCCAGCAGCGGGATGTATGACATGCCTCGGAGGCACGCCAGTATCAGGAAGTATGTTGTTCCATAATAAATACTTTTTGTTTCCTGTCTGCAATTAGTCTATGCAAATCCTTGGCTGGGGTGCAAATTATGGTGCAGCTTGCTAACCGCGCCCCGAACCCCCTCCTCTCTGACCATCCATCAGAGCTCAAACAGCGGAGACGATGCGGCAGAGAAGAGCGAGCCGAAGACGTGTAGACGATGAGGAAGCGTAAGGCAGGGCACACAAATCCGACACGTGGGGCATAATAATAAAGCAGGTAAATCAGTTAATTTGACATTCACCAATCAATCACTGGAGGAGAATCCTCCTGATGCTTATAAGTGACAGTGATGGACTCCGCCCCAGTGAATGTTTGGTGAACGTCACCCTGACTGCTTTAGAAGTATGCCCTATATAGATAAATTAGAGGAATGACTGTAAAAAGGCGTAGCTTTGAAAGAGGATGAGTTTAACTCTTCCACTGCCAAAATATAAATATATCTTTTTTGCGCACATTATGAAATGCACATTTTGGGTCTGAAGATTACTTAAACCCCCCCAAACACACCCACCCACCCACAAACATGATATATTTTATGAAAGCAGAGACCTTGGAGAATAAAAGGTGGTAGTTGCAGCTGGCACTGATTGGTCAGGAAGCCAGGCTGCCTAGCAACAAGTGAAGCCGACTTTCTAGGGGATTGGCACTGCCGGTGAGAGGGAAGTTCCGGTATCGGAGGTAAGTATCGCAGCATTTGGGCGAGTACTTGCCCAAATACTCTCTAACGGCACCAATACCGGTCTCAGTGCATCCCTAGATTTAGGATAACTGTAACTAGGAAGCAGCAGCACAGGGGAAGCTGATCTTTCCAGTTCTATAAAGAAATGGATCGGTGGCGCTGAATCCCCAGAGTACAGGAATAAGGTGCTTCCAAGGCGGCTTTGGACGGGAACCAGAAGAGGAGGCAATGAAAGGAATACCACAGCAGAAGCTTAGAGTCCAAGAGTATTTATTCCAAATAACTGGTTCAAGCAAGATCCACATGTTCAGCCAACACATGTCAGGGGCTCCATACCGCCCGTCCCTGCATCGGGGCTTAGGATATAAAAGGAAAACGAAGAGGTGGGACTGAGCGTATTGAAAGAATTTCAATGTTGTGTGAACAGTCTGCAGGCATGATCACCAGAATCTGGCTGTTGAAGTTCCATCTATACTACCCGGAAGTCTGGCTAATAGAGACTGGTTATTTTTTTTTTTTTAGCTTTTGCCGCAATCTCAAATTCCTCCAGCAGATGGCACTGTGAATTAAATCTATAATTTTATATCTCTGTCCAGACACTCGCAGGGGTAGCCAAACTCGGGCCCTTCAGCTGTTGTGGAACTACAAATCCCATGAGGCATTGCAAGATTCTCACAGCCACGACTCCCGGAGAGAGTTGCATCATGGGATTTGTAGTGTCACCACAGCTGGAGGGCCGGAGTTTGGCTACCCCTGGGCTCCAGAGAGATTCTGAGAAAGCATGTTCTGCACTTTGGACCCCAAGGGTAGGCCCTACAGCTGTGGTGACACTACAAATCCCATGATGCCACTGCCTCTGGAAGTCATGTCTGTGGCTGTCAAAAGTCTTGCCATGCATTATGGGATTTGTAGTTGAACGACAGCTGGAGGGTCAGAGTTTGCTTACCTCTGCACTAATGAGTTTGATCTCTAGCTATGAGAGGCAACTCTCTTTCATTCAGGATATCCCTGGGGGTCACTGGACAGTTCCATGTATTGACATACACCCCTCCCCCCCTCTCTTCCTGCAGGTCTCAGTAATCCAGTGCAGACAGTGTAAAAGATGAGAGCACCAAGTCCAGTAAAAGTGTATTACTCTTAATAAAACGTCAGGCTGTCGATCGCACTGCTGATGTGCCAAGCGCTATTTCTTCACAAATGCTTCCAGTATTAGTTCAGATTTCAGGCCCTGATGAAGGGGAAGTTCTGAGCCCCCGAAATGTGTTGGCTTTATCTGCTGACCTTTTATCAAGATGAATAAACTTTTAGTGGACGTGTTACAAACTTGGAGCTCTCATCTTCAACGCCCCCCTCCTCAGAGAAATCCTGAGACCTGCAGGAAGGCGAGGCGGGGCTGTATGGTAATAGATGGAGGAGTCCTGAATATGCACAAGCACTGTAATGGATGATGACGCACACATTTACCTCCTACAATGTTTATTAAAAGTTCAACTGCTCAGATTTTAGAACACAACACTAGCACTGGCACTTTGTACTAAGATTAAAATATAAAATCGGCGGTGACGTCACTATCACTTTACGGAATGAGGCTCGGCGTCCCATGCGGACAAAGTTCGGTTGTTTTTTGTGCTGTAAATAACGTAAATCGATGAGCGATTTCTAGACGATTCCTTTTTCTTCTGTGGGGAGAGCTGCCGGGTCCAGTCCGAGCTGTTTCATCTGCACGGCGATGTCGAAGAGGTAATCGTAGCACTCGCACCTGGGAGGGACAAAGCGCAGTTATTGGGAGGTCTGACTTCAGGAGACACTAAAGCCGGCCACACACCTATAGATTATCTGCAGACTTTCTGTGGTCAGATGGAAAAAGTGCAACAGATTTCTCAGTCTATGCTAAACTGTGTGGATGGAGGAATCTCCCGCTTCGCCAAATACTGAACACTCTGATTGGATGCTGGCATTGTTCAGGCGTTTTGAGAGCCAGCGGGTCCGACTAGCAAGATACTGAATCTTGGTGCATGGTAAGGGGGACATTTTAGGAGATTTTTAAAATGAAAGAGGAACTGAACTCTAGAAGTTTTGCCCAAATAAAGGCAGGTACAAGACGAAGGACTAATCATCAGCATTGCCTGTGGTCTCCCCAAAATCATCTTTCCCCATTGCTTTCCCCTGCACTGTGTCTCTGCGTGGAGGCACCCATCTAGGTAGAGGCAGGGCTTTGCTTCCACATGTCAGAGCCTCCAGCAAGCAGAACGGTGAGCAGCACAGTAGTGACATTGCCAAATCTCATTCTAAATCTCCTGGGACTAGCAGTCAGCGACAACAGTGTCTTTGATGATCTCAAAACAGAAAAACAGAGTCTGGAGGCAATTGCCTCCAACACAAATCCCTTCGTCGATGACTACACTTCCTCAAGAACCTCACGGTGAGTTGATATATACGCACCACACACCGCTCAACTTGCCTCCATTTCATGTGCATCTTTTTTGTTTCTCCCTCCACCCCCCGATACTTAATACGTCACGGAGGATAAATACTAACGTAATTGCTTCTCAGGCAGCATTAACCCTGCATGCCCTAGTCCACGAAATTTTGCCCCATTCTCATCTGTCCAACCCCAGCAGTTGCGCCTCAGACTCTGTTTTTCTGTTTTGCACCCATACCAATTGGACACCCCGGTCCATATTGAACTGAAGCCGCACGCCACCCCCACCTCAATACCATCCTCCTCCACACAGCCCCCACTTAACCAAACTAATACTAAAAAGGTTCTGAACAACACAGAACCACCCATCCCCCACCCCCCAGGAGAGCGCTGTCACACAGGACTTGAATCCCTAATTTTTCTTTGATGATCTCACACTGCAGATATACAGCTATGAGGATGTAGGTACAGGAGTGCTAAAGAACACATACCAGGAAGTGCACGGCTGCTTTTTAGCAATTTCTCAGGGTACTGCTTAGGCACCATTAACATTTCTACATGTCCCCCATAACATAGTCAAGCTTCACTTGTTGAGTTGAGTTCCACTTTAAGGTTTAGATACACACATATTACAGTCTTCAGCAAGTAGCCTAGTCCTACTCATGTTATCATTGAATGACCAATAACACTGCGACATTTCATGGTTGACATTTGCTTTCACAAAACACGTACATAGTCTTAGCTTTCTCCCAGGTGTCGCCCCAGACGTAGACTCCATGCCGACGCACCAGCACGGCGCAGGAATCCGGGTATTCTGTCATGGCTTTTGCCATGCGTTCTTTAAGGTCTTTCTCTTCCGGTGTGTTCTCTACGATGGGGACCACCAGGAGGTCATCAAACCTTCAAGAGAGAGTGACATTATTAGATTAAAGCTCAGCTTCAGCAAAAGTGTGATATTAGGCTGACAGGCAATGGGAGGGAATCTCTTTTAGGATCTTACTGCTATCTGTGTGCCTGCTGGGGAGATTCAAAGTAGAACTCCAGCTGTAATAAAAAACAAATACATTGGTCCAGCTTGGAACAATGTAATATTATATATATATATATATATATATATATATATATATATAATTATTGGCACCCCAGCACTTCTGTTACATAACGCACCGCTTTGCGCAGAAAGCTGATGCAATTACAAATGTTTAGGCATTCTCGTGTTTATATCTTTCGTTTGGATTGGTATGACACAAAAAAGTGGAGAAAAAAACCCCCCAAACCTGACACATTCCACGCAAAACTCTAAAAATGGACTGGACAAAATTATTGGAACCCTCAATTAATATTTGGTAGCACAGCCCTTGGAAAAACATAACTGAAATCAATGGCTTCCTGTAACCACAGAGGTCAATGAGGGCTTGATTTCAAGCTAATTTGCTAATTGTTAAGATTGCAGAAGTATCTGAACGGCCAAAGCCTGGCCACATTTCTACGCATTCTCAGGTGCCCACCATGTACCTTCATGTATCTTCTGGAATCCCCCAAGATCCCAAAAAATAAAGAGCCATATCACACAAATCTCAATTTTACAGAGAAATCTGGATGCTGGCCCACTTCCTCTCTCAATGCACGACTGGTCAGCGAGGTTGCACCTTGACGTCCAGAGGAGGTGCAGTTGGGGGTCATATCATTCAACTTTCTATCAAAACTGAGACTTATTAGACATATTACAGAGTCCCAGTCTAATTAAGAAGCTGTATGAATTAAGCACTTTTAATTGCTGACAGGTTCTCTTTAAAATGAACACAAATGGTCAGGACTCTTAGGTGACCATACACTGCAAATCCCGCGATCGTACGAGAATCGTGCAGTGCGAATGAAGACGTGCGACCGTTTCTACTGTACGGTCGCACGTCTTTTGTCTAAGGAGCATGCTAGAAAACCAGCCGAAAATCTTACGATTTTCGGCTGGTTTGAACGGTGCTCGGGGGACAAATGGCGAACGGGCCGGTGTGCGCACGTGTGTGCCCGTTCAGCATTGCAGTCATCGGAAGTCCGGGCTTGCGATGATCGCAAGTACGATCTGCTTGTCCAAGATGGGCAGATCGTACGTTTTTTAATTACTTTACAAACATCGCAAGACTAAGATCTTGCGATGGTTGTAAAGTTTATGGCCACCTTCAGCCGAGTGTAAATCCAACTGTTTCCACAGACTGTAAACTATATCAGAGTGTCAAAACTTGCATTATACTGATCAACAAATATAATATGTCAAGTGACAGATTCTACTCAGTATCAGGGTTTCACCTGTAATAGTCTCCGGAGCTGCCTTTCTTTATGCCTTTAATCATCTCCTGGTGTGTGATCCGAAATTCCTTCCCAGGAAACAGTAGTGTGGCTAGCACAGCAGACTTGGAGTGAGTGTGGATCACAGCTCCGGCTCCTGGAAATAGAAAACGTTCATGTTATAATTAAAATGGAAGCAAAGCACATATCGGAGAAAATCAAAAATGTCCACAATCTGTCGGCGCATAAAATCCCATCGAAACATTCTCATTTGTTACCACTTATGTGCTTCCATTACCAAACACTGACTTTGTTGTCATTCATAACTGAACACTAATGCTTTTTTTTTTTAACTATTTAGATAAGCCCATTAGATATCTGTACTATATTCACTGTGCATATAGTACAAACCCAAGAGTATATATAGTGTATAGGAAGAAGCTATTAGGCGCTCATCCAAGCCAAGAATAAGAAGCAAAGAACAACGGCGCCACCTGCTGGCTTCATATAGGAAATTCCTAGAGGAGCCACATAGTAATCCTGTCTTTATAATGTGTGTTTTCTTCTTTAATGTTTACAAATATAAACAAAAACATATTTTTAAAGTGCAAGGAAGCATTAAAAAGCATTTTTTTAAAAATGTTGTTACCATTTTCTTCTCACAGGGTACAGATATAATACAACTGCTTCTGTACTGACTTCTGGAACGGTGTCCCATAGGGACCCACAGGGGTAAAACCCCATAGACTTCCATGGGGTAGAGAGACAGGATCCTTCATAGCTAGGTAAAAATTCTCTCGTCTGAATGCACAATTTCATAGGATATTTAGTTGTATTAGGTCTATGAATTTAGTACACAGGCTAGTCATACTTTGAAAAATAATTCTCAATGCTACACCAACTACTTGTTAAATAGTTTCAGCTCTGATTTCTCCTAGGACACCTACCTCTCATGGTGTAAGCGTTCATGAACAGCGGCGTGCACTGACTCTTTTTCAGGTTCTTGTACGCTGGAGGGCAGCTGATGTCCCTCTCATCAATATCGCAGACAAACAGGTCATCAGGCTGCAGGACAAAACAAACACATATGAAGTTTTTTTGTGACATCTTTTATCTATATACGTCTACATCAGGGGTGAGGAACTCCGGCCCTCCAGCTGTGCTTTAACTACAAATCCCAACATGCCTGTAACGGTCGGTTGGCCTCATTCACACTGCTTGGAGTCGGCCCGTACAGATCCGTGCGGTGTGCGCGGCCATATCAGGCCGTTACCGGGAAGGACAGGTGCTGCGTGTGATTGTACGCAGCAGCCTGTTCTTCCCCATGGGAGGACGCGGCCGTACGCTCACCTCAGCTGCACATCTGTGCTGGTACGGGTGTCCGTATTCGTAGGCAGACAGGATGTATCCGAGCAAGGACACCCGCACGGATGTGAAGTTCGGGTGAGCGTACGGCCGCGTCCTTCCATAGGGAAGAACAGGCTGCTGCGTACAATCACACGCGCACGCCCCGCGGATCTGTACGGGCCCACTCTAAGCTGTGTGAATGAGGCCTTAAGCTGAACTCCAGGTAGATATAAGAGACATCAATAGGTTCTCATTTTTTGTGTTTTATGCAAGCAGTGTAAGTGCTTGATTGTGACTTGGCCTCAGCCACTTGCATTGAGGAATCTGTTTTCCTCAAATCTATTGGAATCTATTTTTTTTGTTCACCCCACCACGGGCTGAACGAAAAAAATAGAACCATGTATATACACCATTTGAGATTTTTCTGGACTTCTTTTTTAAGTGGCTTTAGACCGCCGGAGCCTAGGGGGAGAAGAGGCTGCAGGGACAAGTTCAGCAACACAGAGGGAACGGGGATCAGGTAAATAAATCTGCTTTATTTGATACCCCTGGACAAAACGAGCACCTAACCCTTAAAGTGCAAGGGTAGCCCCACTGCAAGAGTACGCTTTTTATTTTCCCGGAGTTCTTCTTTAAGCAATACATGAGCCTTGATGGTACCATTAAAGGAGAACTATGAGGTGAGTGATTTTCACTCAGCATCATAGTTCTAGCCAACCTGTGACAATGAAACCGTCACAGGTCGGCTCAGTAGATCGGGAAGTGAGCAAACACATACCGGCGCTCGCTCACTTCTCGATCCTGTGCCGGCAGAGAGCCATGACAAGGGAGGGGCTGGATTCCCCCTTCCCCTGTCCGATCCTCCAGCGCTGACTGGCGGAACGGATGGGGGAGGGGGCGGGTACAGCTGGCTCTGCCTCTAGATAGGCAGAGCCAGCTGTCACTCACGCAGCTGGGTGGATCCCGGCACAATTGTCGAGATCCGTTCCGGCTGCGGCGTCTCAGTATATAATGAGCTGTAGCTCGCGGTATACTGAGCTTTGGGTGATGGGAGTTTGTGTCCTCCCGTTACCCTTAGGAGAACTATGGGGAAAAGCCTTAACCCCATAGTTCTCCTTTAAAGTCCAATATTCCTAACTTGTAGTTGTAAATCAGTGGTTCCCACTTAAAAAAAAGCAATTAGCATAATATTCTTTTGGAAGCTGGCGGAGACAAAAAGCTAATACATCCTGTGTAGCACATAAATAATACATTGTACACGCTGCAGTGATATACAGCCCCTTGTGACTTCCACCTAGACCGCATCTCAGGCAAACACTGCTTAGTTATAAAATATTCAGGCCGTAGTTTATGTCCCCGCTTTGCTGAGGGGAAAGGACGCCGTCCTTATGTCCTTTGCTCCTGCGGATTTTTGCCCGTCCTGTGCACAGAACGCAGAAGACGCCGAGTTCGTACTGTGACATTGACAATAGCAGGAGAGGATGTTCCTCTAAGACATGACTGCCGGGGGCCGTTATTAAACATGACCCGTCACTAGGAATTAACATTTTTAAATGCAACAGCTAACCGCAAACTCATTTTACCGTGCCTCTTGTTTCATGTATCCTCTGGGTATCACGCCAATGACATCATATGCATATGAGGAGCCATGCTAATGCAGTGGTTTAATAGTTTAAAGCAGGTGAAAGGCATAGCCCACTTATTGCAAAAAAATGAATAAACAAGCCCACAATGCATCAAGAAAAAATGTGCATGTATTTATCTTTTGGATTTGAGACTGCGCGGCATTGCGACCACGATCAGGAGATCACGGGTGCAAAACATAGACTCCTGCAGACTATTCCATCAGCCCAAGGTCTATATTGAGCTATGGACCTTCAGTTATGGAACCACCCTTGTAGTCTATTGTTAGTAGAACTGAAACCTAAGGTAAGATGCTTTTTGTTTTGGAAGAAGAGACATACAAGGCTTCTTCTACAATAAAAACCTGCCTGCCAGCCATGTTTTCCGCTTTAAAAATGATCTTGGACCATTGGTGTGTAGCTCTTATTAAGTCTTTAACTTTGAGATCCTACCAAGCCACCTCTTCAGGGGTTCATTGGTTGTTTAGAGCAGTCTAACTAGAGCAAGTGAGCTCTATGAACTGGATTTAAATTTGACTTCAATACCAAAAGATCAATTTTTCTTACATCCATATATCCTGAACTATTCCTGCATTGTGTCTGTGTGGAAGCTGCCATCTTGAAAGATGCAGGGCTTTTCATCCTGTCAGAGCTGTCCCTCTGATGACTGGTGGGGGAATATCCAAGTAGCAGCAGGGGAACCCTCATAAAGTAGAGATCCACAGAATGCATAAAGCAGAAGCAGGCAGATCCTTGCATTGCAGATCCACAGGTACAGCTTTCTCTCCAGCAAGGAGAACAGTGAGAAAAACAGTAGTGACATCACCAAAGAACAGTGAGCACGGTAGTGACATCACCAAAGAACAGTGAGCACAGTAGTGACATCACCAAATCTCACTCTAATTCTTATGAGACTAGCAGTTAAGGATGCACCAATACCAATACTAGTATCGGTGCCGATACCGTGTATTTGGGCGAGTACATGTATTCGCCCAAATGCTTCGATACCGGAACTTCCAGCCAAAGGGAGATTTCCTCTGACCGGAAACGCCGAGGGAACATAGAGCCAGCTTCCTGTCCAGACGGCAGGTAATGACAGGAAGCCAGACGGCAGGTAATGACCCGCCTTCCTGATTGGCCCAATCAGCATATATCCTGCCAAACAGGAAGCCGGCTCCATGCTGTTTGGCTGTAAAGCCGACTTCAGGCCCAATCAGTATCAAGCCGGCTTCCCGGTCAATCAAGAAGCCGGGCGACGGGTAATGACACACCGCCCGGCTTCTTGATTGCCCGGGAAGCAAGCTCCATGCTAGTGGAACTACCGGTATCGCCGAGTACTGGAATATAAATATACCAAAAAACTGGTATCGGTGCAGCCCTACTAGCAGACAGAGGTAGCAGTGCCTTACATAATCTGCACTGCAGATATACAGCTATGCGGTTCCAGGCACAGAAAGTGCATAGCTATTTTTAGGGAAAATTCAAGACAAAGGGTACATTTTAGGGGGATGATTAGATACAATTAACATTCCTAGATGTGCTTTATAAGCTAGCCACAAGGTGCTTGCTGTTACCTGCAAGAAAACCCTCTTCTGTGTGCCCCTCTGATCCTGATTCAACTTTATACTAAAGTCTCAACCTAAACTAAGCTCTACCTACCCTCCCCCACCCAATGAGAGCCCCCTTATTGACCACTGAAGCACTCTCCCTGGATAGATGGATGGTAAATGGGGAAAGCTTAACTCTAGGGGAAAGGCATAGTCAGGAACATAAGCATTTAGTGCTGTGAATGCAGAATTTAAGGGGGTGGATACTTTGCTAGGCCTTCACCAGTGCTTTTCTGATGACCCTACTGCACACTGAAGATTATTCACCACTGTCCCCAAGGGTTAGCAGGCTTTTACAGCAAACTGGACTGACATAACCTGCTACATACACCCCCTGCAACCTACAGACAATTGATTCATTATGTGTACATTCTCAGCAGCCCCTAGGGGCCGTGTAGTTTGCCACATTAATGTCAGCTAAATGTAAATCTCCTGAATAGTCCTGTGATAATAATTATAATTCTTATGCATGCAGTAGCATGTACGGATGAGGAAGTGGAGGGGGGAGGTAAATCGGCATCCATTGGGGGATCCGAGCACTGGAGTCCCAAACAACAACTGCTGCCATTTTATTCTATAGGGTCTTGGCTTTCACAAAATATATAATGTTTGGGGGGTTTTAAGTAGTTTTCAGGCCTAAAATGTAGAATATAACATGGGTGCAAAAAAATGGAAAAAAAAGGCCTCAGTCATGAAGGGGTTAAAGGAGAACTATGGGGTTAAGTCTTTGACCCATAGTTCTCCTTAGGGTAACGGGAGGACACAATCTAGCGTCCTCCCGTCACCCTAGGCTCAGTATACCGCGAGCTGCAGCTCGCAGTATACTGAGACGCCGCAGCTGAAGCGGATCTCGACAATTGTGCCGGGATCCGCCCAGCCGCGTGACTGACAGCTGACTCTGCCGGCATGTGTTCGCTCACCTCCCGATCTACTGAGCCGACCTGTGACAGTCTCATTGTCACAGGTCGGCTAGAACTATGAGGTGAGTGAAAAGCACTCACCTCATAGTTCTCCTTTAAGCTACGTTGTTACCTGACGATGGACAAGCAGGAGATTTGGCTATACTGTCTGGCGGGGCCTCTTGAATGTAACAATGGCTGAGCAAAATGACAAAAATATGAACATGTGATTCAGCGATACATATTAGCCGTTTGCCTGGAGTTCTGCTTTATTTTCTTGTCAATACACCATCAACCCAATACTAAATAGCAGCTTTTAGGGGGGACATATTCCAATGCTGACACATCAGGGTCAACCTACATATGAAGAGGAAGTGTCATACCTGTATTCTTTCCTTCTGGACACCAGATGGTGCAATGTAAATTTCATCCCTGGGGAAAAAGAAATAGATACACATCATACAAGGAAGTAACTGGCAACAGTAATCATAGAGAAGGGAATTCATCAGAACTGGAGCAGTGGGGGGGGGAGGACACACACCTTGTTATTTTTCTGTGGCCATTTGTAAAGCTAATAAGCAAGCTAAAGTCAAACTAAAGACATGGGAAGCTGGGCACTGCCATGGGGGCCATGTACCAATGGCAAAAAAAAAGCATTTTCCCCTATGCAGAATGGTCAGCTCGCTCTAAGACCTCCAATGCATACTGCTGCCGTGAGCCCTACTTTTAAAGAAAGGGGGGCTGGGTTATCGAACCCTTCCAAATATTGGCTCTTGTAACCAGATAACAAGGTACAAAAGGCTGTGCACTGCACTTCGGGTTGTTCCTTGTTTCTGGCAGTGAACCAGTGTTCGATCGAAAGTTCCAACTTATCGAGTTCTCTGACCGCCTGACTTCCGCTTTCGTTACAAGAGGTTTGCCCAAGAAAGTTCTTTTGCACCCCGAGGCATTGGCCTATACACATACAGCACAGCAATGAAGTAATAAAATGAACTAGGATCACACTAATCCAGCACGTTATTATTCTGAGTTGCCCCACTCAAGCGGCGGCCATATTGAGTGGGGCACGTGAGATTAATAACGTGCTGGATTAGTGTGATCCTAGTTCATTTAATACTTCATTGCTGTGGTGTATGTGTATAGGCCAATGCCTCGGCTGGCGCACGTGCGGAAGAACTCTCTTGGGCAAACTTCTTAGTTGTAACGAAACCGGAAGTCAGGCGGTCGGAGAACTCGATAAATTGGAACTTTCAATTGAACAGCGGCAAAGTTTTCGGACAAAAATTAGTGTTTGAAGTTCAAATCAGGAGAGGAGCCTAGGGTGACAATGCTGCTCCTTTACAGATATTTAGTGTTGTCACCCTAGGACAGGAAAGGGCCGATTGATAAAGCTGAATTTTGGTGGAGATTACTTGTCATTTAAAACACTTACACCTGGAAGATTCACCTGCGGAGAATGTCTGCAGAATGACAGATTCCCTGTTTATAAATATGCCCCTAAGTGTGTTATTTGTAGGATCACCATGGGAAAATAAAGGGAAAAAAGCCTATAAAAAAATAAAACTAATGCAGCCAACACATCTAAGAACCATTAAAGAAGAACTCCAGGAGAAAAAAAAGACTAACCCTTGCAGTAGGGCTACCCCCGGACTGCAAGGGTTAAGAGCTCTTTTTTTGTCAAGGTTAAAAAATAACAAAGATACACTCACCCGAAGCTCTGAGCTGGAGAGGAGGGGGTCGGGGG